GTCACTGAATATCCCAAAGCATGCAGAACAGTGCCCTAACTCACAGAATGGTTCAGATGAAAGAGTGCCAAGTTGAAGAAGCCCTGATGGATGATGCACCAAGCTGCACTCCTTAAGATCTGCTAACATGTTTTATTTATGTCTCTCACAGCTGGACACCATGTAGAGGTTAGGAAGGGGCCTTTCTGTTCAGTGACCATCCACTGACTCCAGGTGGATACCTTTTTTCTCCTCATATGAAGGAATGTGAGTAAAGGCCACTCTCATCCTCCCAGCGAGACTCAGAGCCAGGCCTGCTGCCCTCGCGGGCTCAGCTAGCTCGGCTCTGGGCTCAGAAGCTAAGTGCTGCTATTCAGGAAGGGGAAGAGGACTCAGAAAGAAGCTTCACACTCCTGGCTTCAGATTAGCTCAGTTCCAGCTGTCGCAGCCATTTGGAGAGTGAATGGGAAGATCTCTCCTCTCTGTAAATATGCCTTTCCAATAAAAATAAATGAATCTTAAATATCCAGGACGCATTGTTGAATTCCTGGAATGCAACGGCATTGCATTGTTTTACGCTGCAAGCTCTCTAAAGGCAGGGACCGGGCTGGACATTAAAGGACAGACGTAGACATGACGTTGAAGACCCAGGGACAGGTGTTTGTGGACTTGCTTCTGCCGCATGACTCTCAGCTGATGCCTGTGGCCACAGAACACGTGGAAAGAAAAAAAATCAATTAAATTGGAAAAGTGAAAAACATGACAGTGTCAATGACTACTTCTAAAAAGTGTCAGATTGAGTAGATAAAAGCATAAACAAGATGTGTGTTGATGATAAGGGGCTTAAGAAAGGAAAGCTAATGGAGGCGACATGAGCCCCGATTTGTTTGGAATAGTAAATCTCCACAGTGAAAAAAGAGAGTGCCAAGAAAATAAATGGAAACCTTGGAAGAAAAAAGGATGAATAAGACATTTTGGCAACGGCTTAGTTTTTCCACCTTACTTTAGCCGCTTCCTATTATGTTCTTGCTTGAGTAATACATAATGTCTCTTAAAAGTACTTGATATTCTACCACTTCATCTCCAGCCCTGCTTCCTGCATGTTTCCTCCACAGGAAGTGATTTGTAACACAAAGCTATGAGCCCTGCCCATTGCCAGCTCCTGTGGCTGAGACAGTCCCACTCATCCTGTGCCCCATTCCTGGAACATTCCCCTCCCCTACTTTTCCTTCCTGGTGGCCCTCCCCTGTCCCCCGCCCCTCTTTTTTTTCCCTCTTGCTGCATGGCTTGCATCTCTGTGAGCTGGCAACTGATACCTGCTGCAGGGAAGAGGGAACTGGCTCTTTGTTTTTCCTGAGAGACACAGAGCCAGGCCTACTGCCTTCCCCGGGCTCAGCTAGCTCAGCTCTGGGCTCAGAAGCCAAGTGCTGCTGTTCAGGAAGGGGAAGAGGAGGACGCTTTTGGAGTCTTTCAAGGTATTCTGCAGAATATTGCAACTGGCCATGAAAAGACAAGATCAGCAATTATTATTTTCTAACAAGGTTAATTACCAACTCACTTAAAAAGCAGGCTTGCATCATCGCAGCTTTACTGTTCATGTGTGAGGGTGGCTGTGCAGAGACAAGTGCAGGTGTTCAGTCCTATAGCAGCTGGCCTTGTAGTCCGGCAAGGCAATCAACTAAGCCACACAGTGGTTACAGTTGGCTAGTTGGCATGTCTCCGGGGCAGACCTCTCCACCCCACCGGGAGCATGCAGCAGTGTCTTGTCCTCCACATTAGGGACCAGTGATCTGAGTTTTGGAGAAAGTGTACATTCAGTTTGTCTATGGGGTACACTGGGTCCAAACACAGGCTGCCTATGGATTTTTTTCCCTGCAAGTGCACTTCTCACGCAGGAGTGAAATAAACAACCCAATAGAAATTCAGTACAAAGAGGTTTTTTTTATTGACATTGTAAGAAACATTTTTTTTTTCTTTGTTACAAAAGGACTAAGTGGTTCTGGAAGCAAACATAAGAGTTCATCTATGGCTGGGCTGCAGTCCCTGGGCTGGAGGTGGGCATGGAGCATCACAGGGGCTGCAGGCTCATCCGAGGGAGGCCCAGGCTGTCACATACGAACACTATGCCTACAATATACTTAAATGTATTTACACGTGTTTCTTTTTAAAAAGGATTACACACTTTATTTCTTTTAAAAAAATCTAAAAAAGGTGAAAAAAGGAACTCGTATTTTATCTTACACATTGGCAGGATACACAAGGGTAAGTTGTCAGAAAGGAGATCCTCCTTTCAGTTCAGAACGACACAGGAAACCAGGTGACATGACAGCTCCGACTCACGCTCCAACTCTAGAGCAAGGATCGGGCAACACCCACTGGCCCCTCTTGTTGACAAGAGTAACGTAAAATAAGGCACATACATCTCAAGAATCAAAACTTCGGGGGCTCAAGAAGATAAGCCCATATGTGAAGAGCACGGATAGTTTAATTAGATCCTTAGAAAAATAAAATGAGAATGGTTTGAGATGTGGAAACAAGCTTTGCACAGATGTTAAAACAGGAATACCATGTTTGAGCCTCTGTATATTACAGAAAGGAGGTTGTGACATAATGGAGGCAGTGCCATCTCTTTAAATGACTAGCTCAGAGAAACATGGAGAAGACTGGAGGCTGGTGGTGGGTCCTTCAAAATGACATAGATGACAAATCTGTGGAGATGTTATAGCTCCACAGGCTTACTTCTAAGTGACCTCGAAAGACCTTCTCTCCAGCAGACTCTCATGACAGACCACAGGAATCCTGGAAGGGTTCACTTTCTTCTTCCCTCCCTCCTTTCCTCCACCTTTTTGGAATTTCCATACTGATAGATGCCAAATCTTGAGCCGCAGGGTGTGTCTCCTGCAAATCTAAAGGCAGCGGCAAGGAAAGCAAAGCACAAATAGAACAGAGAAGGAGGGACACTCAGAACACAACTGGAAGACAAAGGGAGAAAAACATTTGAAACCAAAAGTAGGAAAGGGATTATGCCAGCCTGGGAGAATGTCCAGGGCCAGGACTTGAGGATTCTGAGATTCACAGAAAACCAGAGTCAGCCAGCAGAAGACTGGTGGTGTCCTAGCTCAGGGATACAGAAAAGCCCTCGCCCTTTCAGCTACAAAGTGATAGCTTTGTACTCTACTCTCCTGAATTCAGATCAGTAGATCCCTTATTTGTGGCTTTTCCCAAGGGGATGCATCGTTTGATTTAAAGGAAGGTGCTCTCTGTGGGAGGACCCCTGGATGTGGGGAAGGAACCAGCAGCCTGCTACTGATCTCAGAGATGTCTGGTGAAAAGCCAGCTCAATTATTTTAACCACATGGTTCCAAGTGGCAGACTTAACTCTGCTGAGCTGCCTGTTGCAATTGGGAGAAAAATGGGTTGATCCTAACATTGTTTCTGTCATCCAACACTTTACTGTGGTTGATTTTGTCTGGTTGAGTACTAATGTAAAGGGCAGGAATAAAGGGCAAAAACCATACAATTGAATCATGACTCACTTTGGATAAAGCCAATCGGGAGACCAATGGGGACTGTGTGAAGTGTTAATATTTTAATAGCTTACATATTTTTAAAGAAGTATGCTGGGTAATCCATGTACTCTTTATGTACACATATGTGACCTTCATGTGTAGCAATGGCACATGGCAAGTGACTGTACTTCTAAATCTTTAAATGTTTTCATCCAAAACAAAATACAAGTACTACTCTGCATTATGGAGCAAGAACATTTAACTTTTTAAACGGATGCAGCTTTCAGTCACTTTCAGTAACAAAGGCATCCGGACAACTATGAAATATCCCCTGTTAGTGTTCTCAAGTTGTAAAAGTAGTCCAAGCAATTGGTTCCCAATGTTTGTGAGCTTTATCTTTACGACAAAATTTTACAGACCCCTTAAATTAGGGTGCCTAGGACAGGAATACTCCTTCACTGTAGTGGAATTAATAATGTTAATGATTTAGCCGGTTGTGAGACTGTTCAAACACCTACACATTGAGAGCTAGCTATAATCAATTCTGTTATCTATGATAATGGGAAACAGATGGCAGTAACTGACAACTACAGCAAATCCACGAATGTTTCCTCAACTAATTCTAGCTGCTTCAGTCTACAATCTAACGCCTTACCAAAACAGAGTAAAACAGCTTTGTGTCTGAGTGTCACCAACCTCCTGTCCCCTCTCTCACTGGAGTGCTACACAGCCCTGAATGCTCCTGAGGGTGGAAAGAAAAGAGGCAAACAAGCTAACCGAGAACTACCCACAGAGACAGACTCCCAAAGCACGCTCACGGACACCTAGAAGGAAAACCGCAAACGACGCATGAAGCATGTCACCGACAAGCACCCGGGTGCCCCCTGGGCACTGTCCGAAGCACGCCCTGAACTGACTTTGGGTGGGGAGCATGTCCAGACTGCTCTCTCTGCTACAGCGCACCCACAAAAATGCTTCACCTCATTATCCATAGTCTGATTCTTGTACCCAACATGGGGATTGACAGGAAAACAAAACAAAAAAAGCATGGAGCACATGTAAAGGACAAATTTTAAAAGCTGGAAGTGTAACCCCTTGGTCATAAGCACGCCAACTCCTACTTCCTTTGAGTAACAATAGAGAAACAAGTCAAATCTTTTCATCCGGCCTCTCTTCTAAAAGAAAGAACATGCACATCACACATTTACACTGGTTTACTAAAAACGAGACGGGCTTACAAGTTCAAAAAAAAAAGTGTGTTTGGAATATAACAATACTGACTCAAAAGCTGAAATGGAAGACAGTTTCTCCCTAGAATACTTTAGGGTTTTGCAGAGTCCTTTTCCATAAAAGGAATATACTTGAAACACATCCCAGTTAGGTGAGATGAGATTGCTAAAATACATACAGAACAACAACAAAACAAAAATTAAAAAAAAAAAACCACAAAAGACAAAACCAGCCAAAAATGGAGTCCGTTTAATCTTTCAACTCCTGAAGTTTCATGTCTATTTGCGGTCCTTTTTTCCTAACACCTACTGCATAACTGCAAGGAATTTGCTTTCTTCTGCGAGAGAGGTCAACAAAGAGCTCATGTCCCCTATGGCCATGTTGGTGGTGCTCACAGACAGGGCTGGGAACGGGAGGGATGCCCGTGGAGTCGTGAGGCGGGAGGAGCTGTGGGAAAGGTTCTGAATGATACTTGGGCTCAGGGCCCCCGACATGAGGCTGGCGTGGTCCCCGTCGTCTATGATGGCGTCAAAATCAATCTGCACTCCTTCCAGGTCATGGCTGTCAAGGCTGTCAACTGTGCTTGTCACCTGGTTAGCACCTGGGGAAAGTAATTCCGAGTTCTCAGCACTGGTTCCCTGTAGCAGGCAGCTGGCTTCTGCCACAGAGAACGAACCGCCCTTTGTGTCTTGCTGACTAAAGCCCACGGTTTGGTCATAGAACTGACCGGAGTAATTCTGCATATTAGAACAGAGCTGCTGGGGCTGCCCTTGCATCTCCATCTTGATGCCATTCACCCTGCAGGTCTGACTCGTGTCAAGAAGTTGTCCTTGCTGCAGAGAAACACTGCCCCTTGGCACAGCCTGGCACCTGCTGCCTCCAAAGCTGGCACAGGGCTGGTAGCTCCTGACACTTGCCAAGCTTGCTGGCTGGCTGTTGAGCCCATGAGTCCCTGGCAGGCAGTTCTCTGGCCCTTGATAGATGTTGTTGTGTGAGGTAGCACTAACCTGCCCTAGCATCTGTGGGCCGGGGCGGCCTGCCCCCTGGTGTTGCATGCTGTCACCAAACAGCTGGTGGCCCAGGAACCCCTGTCCCACTGAATCTTGGGCTTGCATGCCACTCAGCACACTATTAGCTGGCTCTCTGGGTACAACTGACAGGCCAAAATCCAGTGTGGTCCCGTTTCCTTGCATGGTGGTGCTCTTCAGCTTGGACCCAGGGACCCCAGCAACACAGGCACCCTCTAGCACTCCGGTGGCCCCTGGCTGTCTGTTGAGACAGCTTCCATACTGCTGGGCCTTGTAGGGCTGTTCATGGAAGGTGTTTCCACCAGGCCCAGTTCCTCCCCCGTTGTGGAGGGCCAAGGGCTCCTGGCCACCATAGGAGTTGCTGCTCTCCCCCAGGGCTGAGTATCCTCCAGCTGGGCCGGACCCATTGCTCCTCACTGAATGCTGCAGGTGGACACCCACGTTGTTGTACAACCCCAAGGCACGGGCCTGGAGCACTGCTGAACGCTGGCCGCACTTCAGCTTGGAGGAGGACAGGTCAGCACTGCCAGAGCTCACTTCGTTCCACTGGATGGGCAGGTCTGTTTTGCTGCCTTCTGCGCAGGGCTGCTCCAGGGTACTGCGGTACTGCTGGCCCAGGTGACTATCCAGCAGCCCCGGTGGTGGTGGTGGTGGTGGTGGGTCGAAGTCACCTGCCCCAGGAGGCCCCTTGCTGTCCTCTGGGAAATGCTGCCCATACCCTGCTTGGTTCTGAGAATTTAAATACTGTACCACGTCATCTGGCAAGAAATCTTCATCATTTAGGCCAGTATCGGCATCCATGGTCAGGGACTCCAGGGTGACATTCTCACTTATGCTGGGAGGGCAGGGGGCCGCATGGAAATGTCGGGCTGCACCGCCCTCAGGCCGGGTGTAATTCTGAAGCACCAGGGTACGCTTTTCTGCAGCAGGAGGCCCTGGGGGATTGAAGCTGTTCAGGCTGCTGAAACGCTGCACTCTGGGCAGGGACAAGCTCTCGGATACAGTCCTCACGGGATCGCTGGCTCTCCGCACACTGTGGCCCAACGCATCATGAGGCAGCAGGTGGCGCCGGCTGTAACCATGCGTGCCACCATCGCTGCATCTTCGTGGAGGGTGTACAGGCGGCAGAGTCATCGCAGCCTCCCTGCTGTCCCCAAGCAGGGCCATCCTGGTCTTCAGGCTCAGCCTCTCCATGTGCGGCAGGGGCGTGGGTGGTGGTCCACCTGTGGCCGCTGCATACTTGGCTTTCAGCCGGTACTGCTGGGCGGGCGTGAGGCTGAGCAGGCTGGGCAGCCCATCTCCCTGGCTGGCCTCACTGGACCTGCGCGAGGCATCAGTGGAGATGGGGTCGTAGGAGTCTGCCACGCTCACGTTCTGCCTCCCCTCGGCCTGTGAGGCCTCGCTGGACCTCCGGCTGGAGAAGCAGGGAGAGATGCCGGATGAGCGGCGGCTGCTCAGGTAGGCGGAGCTGATGGTGCTGGTGCTGCTGTCCCGGCGGTTGAGCATGTTGAGCATGGTGATGTCCACACCGGAGAGGTCACTTCTGTTCGGGAGAAGGGTCACGGGCGCTCCTGCGCTGCAGCTGCTGTTGGACTGAGTGCCTGGAGAAGGTAGGAGCAGGAGGGGAGAGGTCAGCGGGATGAATCCATGTCAAGGGGGGTTTAACCTGAGGCATTTCCATCTCTTTCTGTGGAGGACCACAGGGTAGTATTTTCAGACTATCACACCCACTTGACTCTTTAGTCTAGAGCTCAAGTGGTTTTTGGACATAGTGAAGGAATCTGCATGGCTAGGCATTAATAAAACTTCAGGAGGCATGGCAGATGCCTGGCCTCAACAACATACTACCAGCGAGGACAACTCCCTGAAGCTCCTGCACAGGTATGACTGCTGCAGGTATATGCAATGACAAAGTTCCCTGGGAGTCTACAGGCTGAGGACATTGCAAGAGACTCACATCTATCCCCAGGGCTGTTTATTCTATAGTTATGGGTGGGTAACACACCTGAATTGGAGACATGAAGAGGGTTGCCCTCTTAAGGTAACTCAGTGCAATCTAGAGGTCATTGTGAATGTGCAAACTCTACAGTTGCTTGCACGGCTTGGATTTCCCTACCCTAGTCTAAGAGTTTTGCGTTTACCACCAGCATATGAGTCATGCACATGCGTACTTACAGTATCATCCTCGTACCCCTCCATTTTAAAACTGTGTACCTTCTGTAATTAAAACTGAAATGGGTTCAACATGGCCATGGGTAATTATGGCATTATTATAGGGTTGACTGAGAAACTGGCCAACAGAACTGACGGCCTATTTCTGCTCACACGGTTCTGCCTGTACTTAAAAGGAGAGTACGGAGCTGGGCTAATGTGCAACTCACCATTTCCTATGAGAGGAGAAACTGCAGGGGCTTTAGGGGGTAGAATAGGGTTCAGTCGTGGAAGCATTCCATTCACTTGTGTTAGCCTTTCTAGTTTGACGTGTTCCATCCATTTGGTCCCTGCCGGGTTCCTCCTGGCTTGCAAAGCGAGGGCCGTGGTTGCAGTGGAAATGGTCGAGTCCATGATTGGGGTTTCGTCAATGGCACCGAGGTCTGCGACACTACCTCCATCGGTCAGAGGAAGCTCGAGCCCACTGTTGGAATAGTTGCTGATGGGGGACTGTTGGCTGCTGCATGAAGACTGACCACCAGGGCTTGGCTGAGATGTCTGTTGGGGTCAAGAGGAAAGGGCAGATGTGGCATTAGGAAGAGGCAAAGAAGCCCTGCCTATGACCCCAAGACTTATGAGATTATCAGTCAGTTGGGCAAGAAGAAAAACAAAGTTCTAGTGAACAGACATGATCTCCCTGGCCAACATGAGAGATGGACCTGAGGCTGATATGCAGTGGGAGGCAGAGGGCAGCAGAAAATGCTGAGGCACAGTGTGCCTGGGACAGCAGCCAGACTCCTGTATCGAAGGCCCACTCTGCAGACATGCTTTCTCAGTTCCAGTCCCACCTACAAAACTTTAAGCTTTGGGACAATGACTTAACAACTCCCAACTTTAGCTTCCATCTCTGTAAATAGGAGACAACTTATTTTAGGGGTTGCTGTTGAAAATTAGAGATGAGGTCCACTGGGAGACATATATATATACAAGACCTGGGTAGTGATAATCAGCTCAACTGGCATTAGTGATTAGTCTCTCGATCATTTCAGTCTTTGGGGGTCAGACCTCTCCAGCAGGAGTCCTCTAGACTGTTCAGAGCTGATTCCTAAACTCACAGAAAGGTTTCCTGCTGCGTAAGAGTGCAACCAGGATGCAGGGAAAGGCAGCTGTAAGGGATAAAATTTCAATCACTGCCATAATCTGCCATATCCAAAGAGGGGAAGGATATTCAGATCACAGCGTTCTTGAACCTTAGTGCCCTTACTAGGAGAATTAGGAACTGTTTTCCTAGCCCCAGCTAAGTGGATTCTGTAACAAAATTGTGCGAATAATGGGAACTTAATCTGGTTAGTTTCTCACTCTAGGGAAGTCCCCAAGGACTCCTGAGAATCTAGCAGTTGAAAAACTGTCCATCTCAATGTCTGAGGAGTGCTATACATGGCCTACATTGCACAAGGCAGTTGGCAGGGTTTAAAACTGCTCTTTTCTAAAATTCCAGTGGTTCTCTGGTTAACAAAAACAGCCATCCTTTACATATAGATTAGAAAGGTGATATTCAGAAGTTCAGTGACTACGCAAAGTCACACAGTGAATGGTGGGACCCCCCTACACTTGTGGGCTGGTTACTTCCATGCCTCTGTTGCATCTCCAGAGTTCTACAGAAACCAGAGCCAGGGAAAGTAGCCAAGCGACGCCTTCCCAGGGAAGGACTGCTTGTCACTCTGTTAGCCTCAGGTAGAATTAGGATGCAATAGGGAAGGGGTCTATAGAGGTAGGGCTTCTCCATGGATCTTAGTCCACATTTCTGCCATCACAGTACATACACCCAAGTGAATGAACACCTTCTAAGTGAGTGCCACATGGTATGCTAACTTCGTCCCAGGCCACCAAGCAGAGCAAAAGGTTTGCCAACGTGATCCTGAACAGGTGAAGCCCTGCCAAGTGGTGGAGTGCCAGACCACCTGTTCTTTCTTAAGATATTTGTCATTTCCAGAGCTTCAGGTGTCTTTCACTCTCGGATTGCTGAATCAGTTTGTGTATATGGATTTTTGTGTAATACGTATGCATATGTAGATACATATGCAGACACATACTTCTAAGGAGACTTTAAGAAGACACAATGCACTTACAATTTAAAAATTGCTTAAATGAGCTCTTTTACGTATAGATTGAATTGCTAACAATAAATTACTGAGAGCTTTTTCAAAGGTAGTGGTGCACAACTAGTCCAAAAATGAATTTATGCCAGTTAGCACAATAATGAAATAGAATTTGAGAACATCTGCTTGGTTGACCCTGGAGTGATTTATCATGAGAACCTACACAAGTAAGAACAATGGATTTCACCATCTCACTCCACACTGTCCACATGCTAAATGCTCAAGACACATTGCTTCTATGTATGAAACAGAACCGAGTCATGTTCACTACCAAAAAATGCCACAAAGTCACACAAGTGCAAGAAAATAAAATAAGCAAAAATGAGATGTTAAAATGGAAACAGAACAAAAAGAACAGTGAAGCCAAAATTCCCTCACCTTATTACCCACTGTCCTTAGGAAGTGAGAACAAGACATTTAGGAGCATTAGACAGAAGAGATGTTGCATTAATAAGAAAAAAAAGAAGAGAAAATTTAATTTATAGCATGATGATCAAATCAAAGACATGCCTTTAAAGAAAGAATAGTAAAAATATAAATCTCATGTACATTGGTAGATGTCTGTGAAGATATCCACTGATTTAAATATGTATGGACACAGACTTAGCATAGTCTAGCATGGACAGGTGACTAAGTTAGGAACTTCACCAAGACTCAGTTTCTGCACCTGTAAAATACAGTACCATTTTCTATAGGAACCTGTCTAGTCCTATGTTTCTCCATGATTTATTTACTTGGTAAAATATTGGGCACCTTGATGTCACTGAGCCAAAATTTTATGTTTTTATTTCTACTAATTTTGTTTCTAAACAACACATGTGGGGAGAGGACATTAATTTTCTTCAGTGAGGGATGTATTTTATAAGAGACTAGTTTCTTAAGAAGTTCCCCGAACATCAATCATCAGGTTCTGATGATACAATCTGGAAGATTTCAGATTTAATTTTCTTTTTTCATTAATGCTTGCTGATAAACTGTTGAATTTTCTGCATAATTATGATACCCGTGGCCTTTATAAGCAATAGATATGTGCTTCCCTGCAAAAAAGTATACATAGTTCATGAACTAATGAAAATGTAATATCCAATCACAGTACATTTATAAAATTTTCACCAAAATTGTTTTTGAAAGCCAAGTACAGGTACCCACTGAGAAAGTGGATGGTCTATTATTTTTGGCTAGACTCTCTATTGCTCTGTAAGTTTGTAGTTGTACTCATTACGTCATTAGCATATAACTTTCCAATCGTCAATGCCGGAACTGTGTGGGTGTCTTTTCCCATACTTGCTGCTGCTTCCCAACAACAGTCAGGAATCTGAGGATGTTCATCCAGCTGCAAGACTGCTCTAATTTTAAGAGAATGCTTTTTAAACTGAATCTAAGTCTGCCTGTGCCTGGGTCATTTCTGTATGTCGGGAAGTGTAAGCAGGAGACTTGCACCTAGTGCACTTCCTGTGCAAGTCAGAGTGACAAGCTACCATCCGGTATATCCCTTACACACATGGCCAAACAGAAAGGTACTAACTCCCCATTCCTGCCCACTCTTTTTCTTATTGCCCTTTGAAATTTTCAAGTGTTTTATAAATGCAGAGCATCACCAACAGAAATTTAAAAACAACTGAACCAGGACATTTGTTTGTAAGAATCTTTGCATGTCCTCCCTTGTTCTCTAGCTTCTTGCTTCAGGCTCCACTACAGGAAGGGTCTCTGGTTTGCCCTGTCTCTAGACTATCACACAAGTGCTTGTTTCTAAAAAAGGATTTAGCCCTGCCATGACACGGTCCTTGCAAGCCCGACCTTCCTGTCCTCGCTGCTTTTGTTCTTGTACATCAACCCCTGGGCCCCTGGCTGCAGCTTCTCCTGGTCCCCTGCTCAACTCTGGACTGCCCTTCCCTCTCCAGGCTGAACTTCCTGGCCCAGTCTTGCCTCGGCCTCACTCCTTGAGTGCACAGGCATGAAGCTCCTCTCTTGAACCGTTGTACACAGACTTATGCCTAAGGCCCTATCCCGTTGACCGGTAACTATTTGTTTTGCACTCTGCCTGTCCCTCTGGACTGTAGACCCCTAAAGAATAGAGGCTGTGGCTTATTTGTCTTGGGGTCACTGGGGCAAAGAAGACAGCAAGCATGTTTACAAAGAGACTCAGTGAGTGATTTCTATGTCACAGGCACACTGAAGAGACAGATAGCTTTGTCTTTCTTCCTCCCACAGGGGTCATGGTTTTGCGAGGATTTCCAAAATCAGTCCAAAAACTTGGGAGCTCTTTTTGGAGCTAAATTACTCCACGCAAGTCAATTTTCAGTAAAGCGAGACCGGTCACATCAGAGGCCGACGGATGCTACGTGCAAGGGGATTCCTGCCCCACTCAAACGCCCTGGGCTGTGGTGGGAGGATCAGGAGAGGGAATGACATACCATGGGCTTCTCGGCCTTGACCGTCTTCACCTGGAGACATTCTTCCCGCTTTGAGGTAGTGTTGCTGAGGTCCTTCTGCTCACCGAGGGCTCCCTGAGTCGGCCGGCCGGGCGACCTGGACTGAGACTGGCTGCCAGAGTCTCGGGGGGGCGGGGGCCGAGGATGCACATCTCCACGCTGCTTCTTGGTGACATGAGCCTCGGGGCCGTGCACGGTCTTCACGTGTTTTCGGAGGGAGCTGGGGTCTGTGTACCGTTTAGTGCAGCCTGGGATTTTGCATACATATGGTTTCTGCCAAAAACAAGGAGATAACAGGGCTTTAGGAAACTGAGTACACTGTGCACCCCTAAGCCCCCCAAGTCCCCTAGCTTGCGCGTCGCATTTTCACCTCTTCCCAGATACTTCCACAGCACATGGGGGAAGTCAAATCTCTAAGAACTCATGGCTTAATAAGGCCATCTGAGCCATTTTCAGTGTCCACAGGACTTGCAGTCAGAGGGAGCTTAGGAGAGCTAGGAAGGTGGAAATTGCCTTTCAGGTCTTGGATGCATTTATGCTCTGAGTGGAAAGAAGTAAGGTGCTGCTGTGAAAGGGGCTCAACAGACATCAGAATGCTGTGCTGCTGCTGCTACTGATAGAAGGAAGGCTAAGAATGCCCCCCGCACTCGTCAGGAGGCGGTGCTGCAGGTCTTCCTGGAGACATGGTGGGAAGAATGCTCGCACGGGAGCCTAGGAGCTGAGGTCTACTAACACTCTGGCCTATGCGAAATGTGCTTTTTACACACTGGTATAATGACTTTTTTAAAAAACGCCTCTTAGCTCTGCCATGTACGAGATCATTATTAACACGTGTTGCCCTGGGTATCATCACAACTGAAAGTGGATGATGGAACTCAGACATATCCGGGCCTTCTCTAATCTTCACAGTCATAAAGCCCTGTTACAGATGTCTACAGATACTCAGCAGACACTGTAGCGGGTGATGGGCTGCGGGCTTGTGGACTGGCATTCCTGCTCTGGGCTTGTCCTGAGCACCAAGGGCTAGCAACGGTTTCATGCTAATTGCATTTCCTATGTGTGCCAGTGATCAAGCCTACAGATAGTTATCAACATTATCTGGAGGCTTATAACTAAAATATTTCTCAAATTACAAAACTGCTGGCCTTGGCTCTTGACCAACATCAAAATTGTGACTTCATTCTCTTGGCTTGAAATATAATATATTCACGGATATTTGTATGAGTATTTATATGTCTGTATGCGAGGAGATGAGCTATCAGATAAGCAATCGTCCTAAAAAGCATGACTAATACAATGTGCCCATTATATTTTAAAAGATGCCCTGACTGGTAGAATACATGTATCTAAAAGATGCTTTTTAACTAAGAGCTCAGGACAGACTGAGTGCTACCTAAAATGCTGAAATGTCCTAATGCAACGACAGGACGATTCTGAAAATGATCCTGACAGGCTTCACCTCTGAATTTGAGATTCCTTTGGGTCGAATTGATTCCCATTAACTATGAATTACATCTATTCAGCACCTTGTGTGATTTGCTGCCTGTACATAATGAAGTGAGCACATCCAGTTCCATGCATTAGTGACATAAGAATGGCTCTGCCGAGGACTGCCATTATCTTATGGTGTCCTGGCCCTCCGCTTGCTCGTGGGATTGCTGTGACAGGTGGTGCCTGCAGCAAGGCAGGCAGGGATGCATGGGGCACCAGTGTGGGACAGGAAGCAGGAGAGCGACATGGAGAACAAAGTAAGACAGAAGAACCACCCTTGCGATGAACACTTGCATGTGTGTAGTACAGGTTAGCCTAGGAATGAGGGAGCACTTCCAGGAGAGTGTACGTGAGTGGGACTTCAGAAAGTCTGCGGGAAGCACAGAACCACTGCAGTTTTCGCCAGGGTGCAAGTCAAGAGTGCCAGCATGCAAGGATGCATGCTCCGTGGCGGCCTTTGGAGGCCTGTGAGCTGTATGGTCAGGGGCAGCCGGAGTCCTGGCAGAGCAGCCCTAAATCGCAGTCCAGTCCAGGAGCCCTCAGTGGGCAGCATGGGTGGAGGGACAGGCTCCCAGAATGGGCACTGCTCCCTTGCTGTTCTTATCAGTCTCAGCCTTTGCAAAATCTTGACTAGCAAAGGGCTGGGCACAGGCATCAGTGTTTAGTGACTACATCAAGGAAAAGATAAGAGTGCAAGAAATGAATACCAAGATTTATCTGGATCATCTAATTATACAAATCTCAATTTCTGGGACAAACTTAATGTTGGTGTATCTGGAATGGTCTGTCATGTTCATGCAAGGCCCAATGTTTGCCTACAGAATAGAGATGAACAGCTTTATGTGTTTGTGAGTAAAATATCAATGAAGTATGTTTGATCCAAATGAATAATTTAAGTGGACTGCTCAACCCTGAGGAAAGGTATTATTGACTAAGATATCTTTATCTTATAACAGATACTCAATTCTCACATAGTACTGTGCAGTTTTAAAGCCTCACAGATCAACTATAAAACATTTAAAGCAAGTGGACAGGGATACAGGTCTGAGACTCATAAAAAGTTAAAAGCTCAGTATGTTTACAAGTGTACATGGTTAATTCTAATGTTCTTATCACCCACATTTATCCATGATGATAGGATAGAGTCTTGGCTTAAAATCTGTGAAAATGGACATCTTCTAAATTTCTAATGAAAAGGATACTTATGAATACTTATTATGAAATAGTTAAATATATTCATTAAATCCCATGTTGTTATCCCCTAAAAATTTTGACACTTAGCAGTAAGCCAGATGCCATAAAAGTAAATCTTCCCAATTGCACAATTCAATGGTATTTAGTCCATCATCACGCAGTAAAATCATCACCACTAGTTCCAGAATTTGTTCATCGCCCCAGAAATGAAACCTCATACTCACTGGCAGGCACCCCTGTTCTCCTCTCAGCTTTTACCAGGCTCTCATGGACTTTCTGAAATGTCTCCAAATAACTGGTCCATAAAGAGATCCAAAAGACTAGAATGTCTTTGTCCTCCCACTGCATTTTCTAAAGCAGTAGGTGCGTAGACCCTCACGTCCCAGTCCATGTGTGAGTGTGTGATTTGCAGAGCACGTTAATCTTACAGGCACTATGGGCTCTATCACTTCCCTAAAAAAAACCCCATGAGGACTACATCTTCTTCTGCAGAGCCACAGGGATATTAATTAGAATGATTTATCTGATTTTGACCAGATTCCTTTCCGAGTGACTATGAATGAACCAGCCTGCAGCTGGTAAGTCAATCGGCAGAAACCCCAGGGCCCCTTCTCTAACAGATTTACAGCGAACTGATGACTAACGGTATGGGGCTGGACATGATATTTGATACTAACAAATTCTGATGATCTAATTCTGCCAAAAACTGGCAAACTTTTTTTTTGTTCAGCTCTTTACTCAAAAGAAGGCCTCACAGAGGTGTTGGGGTCTGAGCAAGACCTCCAAAAGGCCTGTTTGTAGAAGTGTACTAACATGTACGCAAGGGAGCAATCATGACATGAGTGTTTCTCACTGCGGTGCTCGCATTCAGTTCCCAGCTCTGGCTTCTATCTTCAACTTCCTGCCAGTGCAGACCCTGGGAAGTTTCTGCCACCTACCTGGGAAACCTGGATTAAGTTCCGGATGCCTGGCTCTGTTCTCAGCCAAGCCCCTATGGTTGTGGACATTTCAATGGTTGTGGCATTGAAATCCTAATAGTTGTAGAAGTAAATCAGTACGTGAGATCCCTCCCTTAATACATTTTTTCCCCAGAAATAATTAAGATGTATTTGCAGTCATAACTGCCTTGATATTTCTGTTTACTTTGAAAAATGACAATAATAATAGCACCACAACAGGGACCATTACTACCATGAAGCCTTATTCAATACACTATCTTAAGTTACTGGCTGGAAAGCATGCTGCGTTTCTGAAAATATCTTTTAAAAACCATTGGAATTTAGAATGCCTGGATATTGCACTTAGTACTGAATGGTTGCTTCATAGAAGACTTTTTCTTTTTAATTCAATGTATCTTATAATACTATCTAGAGAAAACAAACAAATGTGGCTGTGTTAGCAGTAAGCTAGTAGCTGTCACATTGTGTCTCTGAGTCTATCCACAGTGCTTACAGGATCTTCCTGTCTGCATGGCTTTAGTTTCCAAGTTCAAGGCTCCTACTGTTTGACCAGTAGGTGGCAGTTCCAAACAACATGAGACTAAATTCATCAGTAGCCTTAAGACTTTCCGACTTATTTGCAGTTTCACCTCTGAGATTCTAGCCTTCACCTGCAATGTTTCAACCATTCATGCTGGTCCTTCCATGTGTATTCCCAGGAGAGTTCTGTTTCCACCAACGAGCTCTGGCTCATGAAAGATACTTACCTCATTGGAATGTGTTCTGTTTTGGTGCTTGGCGCGATCAGAGGCATTTGAGAAAGCCTTGTTGCACCCTTCATGCTCACAGACGTATGGTTTCTCTCCAGTGTGAGATCTCAAGTGCGTTTTCAAGTTTTCTAGTCTCGAGTAGGCCTTTGTGCAACCTTCAAACTGAGGACAACAGGTAAATCTGGATTACACCACACAATAGCCATGGCAGCTCTTGCCTAACACTCCCTCAAAGTAGATGAAAAACTGACGTTTCAAGGGTCAGCAGCTTTTCAAAATCAAAGAACAAAAAGTCCACTAAACTCCGCATTTATTCGGATTCACATGCAGCTTGGTGCAGTTCAAGATAAAGCATTTTCAGTGCCAGTAGAAGTCTTGAAGTTTTGTTGTTTTTTTTTTTTAATAGACCGCTCAACGTGCACAATGCCTTTCATTATTTGCTCACTGATCTCCTCGAATTCCCACTGATTTCAGATTCAGCACAAAGTTCATTAATATGGCTTTGTGTCCATACAAAGACACGGAATTTGATCATGTTTGTAAAGGGCCTTTAAGATGTAAAGTACCAGGGCTGAGCAGTGCCCAGTGTGTCTCGCGGGCATCTTATGAAAGAAAGCCCAGCCTTGCTGCAGCTCCACCCTCATCTGTAGGTCTACAGGATGCTAAAGGGGATGGCAAGAATGTGAGAAGAACTTAAAATCCAAACACAGGATAGATAGCCCTTCCCCAAAATTGCTTAGGCACCAAAAGTACTACGAGTTTTCCAGTCTATGGAATGTTTGTTTTCACAAAATGAGATAACTTGGGATAAGACTCAAGTCTAAACACTACTTTCATTTATGTTTCATGCAGACCTTACACACACTGCCTAGAGGCAATTTTATGCAATGAGCTTAGTGCACCTGCATTTTGATTGCAACCATCACATGGGGTCAGATGTGAAGTTCTCTGCTTGTGGCATCATGTCTGTCTTTCAAATATTTGGGAACATTATGAATTTCAGGTATTTGGTTTAGGGATGTTCAGTAGGTATGAGAATTTGCTTTTTATAAAGTTCATTCAGGCTCCCCTCTCTGCCTTCGGAGGCCTATGACCTGGTGAGCTATCAGGCTTGGGCTCATACAATGCCAGGTCCAACACCTAGAGTGGCACCATGCAGAACTGTTCTGCCCAGACGCTCTTTAAGAAGAAGCCAAACCTGTGCTTAAAGTTCTTAAAGTACCCCCTGTACCTCCACCCCATGTCTCTTCCTAGTTGTAGACATCAGCACATATGGCTGGTTGAGTATGAAGAAGGACCACAGCATGAACCCTTCGCCAAGAGCCCTGCCTGTTGCTCACTGGTACTCACAGTGCATTTGTGAGGCTTCTCGCCTGTGTGTCTTCGCATATGCACTACCAGCATGTACTGTGCTTTGAAAGGTTTCTGCTCTCGGGAGCAGTCAAGCCAGCGGCACACGAACTCCTTCTTCTCTCCATGAATATGGTCATTATTTATGTGCTGCAGTGTGGGAAAAGAGAGAAAGAAATAAAATGGAAATATATTACTCATTTCTGAAGGCAACAGAAGGAAGAATAAAAGATTCCCCCATCTTAGATCCTGAGGATTGTATAAACACCCATATTGAAGATTTATTTTCAAATTCTAGGCAATGTGTTTTTTTTTTTTTAAAGATTTATTTTCTTCTATTGGAAAGGAAGATACACAGAGAGGAGCTGAGACAGAGTGGAAGATCTTCTGTCTGCTGATTCACACCCTAAGTGACCACAATGACCAGAACTGAGCTGGTCTGAAGCCAGGAGTCAGGAGCTTCTTCTGGGTCCCCATGTGGGTGCAGGGTCCCAAGGCTTTTGGACCATATTTTATTGCTTTCCCAGGCCACAAGTAGGGAGCTGGATAGAAGCGGGGCCACTGAGATACAAACTGGTTCCCATATGGGATCCCGGCGTGTACAAGGAAAGGACTTTAGCTATTAGACTATTGCAATGAGCCTGGCAATGTGTTTCTTAAGGTGTTTGTTCTGTTTTTTTTTGTTGTTGTTGTTGCTGCTGTTGATTTTTAAAAGTTGTATTTCAAAAACACACAGAGAAAGACAACGTGATCTTAAATCTACTAATTTAGTCTTCAAATGCCTACAACCACTGGGACTGGGATAGGAGTGTACCAGGAACACAGTACAGGCATTTGATATGGACGGAAAGATTGTAAGTCCTGAGCCATCGCTTGCTGCCTCCCCAGGTGCATCACACCAGGACAGGAGAACAGGAGCACAGTCATTCCAACACAGACTGCAGTGGTCCCAAGCACAGACTTTACGGACAGTGGATCTCTCAAACTTCTATTCTGCTATGTGTGTACACATATTTTCTTATGAGCAGTGACCCAACAAGGACGGTACTTGGTGTCCCAGAAAACCTGAAGAGAACAGGTTCATTCTGAGATTTGCAAGCAGCTAGTTAGAAAAAAACAGATGAGTTAGACTTGTCCTTTGTGGGCCTATGATAATTTTTCCTGCTAAGTGGGGCAGCCGGGGCGGGAGGGGGGAGGTCATGGCTAAACACCTACAAGGCAGTTCTGCAGATTTCTCTCACACTAACAGGGTACATCTCTCTCTCTCTTTCTTTCTCTCTCTCTCTCTCTCTCTCTCACACACACACACACACTCCATTACAAGGAAAACCTATAAGACTTTTCACATGAAGTTTTAGCTCATGCATCAGATGTAAAAAGCAAAGAGAACAGAACTATCTAAAAAAGGGAGCTATGTGGTTGTCAAATGATTTAGTCCCTAGCACCTTCTTTGCAGAAAAATAAAGGAATGGATTTGTGAGTCTCCAAGGCTTTTTTTTTTCAGCTCTAAAATCCTATAATTTTGTTTTCAGAATGAAAATGAACTTCCCCAAATCACTCATTAATGAAAAAGCTGCAGTCCTTCTCATACAGTCCTTTAGATTGATATAGCAAATGTAACACGGGAGACCAGAGCAGCACCAGAGGAAGAGGAGTTTCATTCGGAGCAAAGGAAAGACAATCCCAGCAGGGGGACTACACTGTTGAAACTACCTTGCTGTCATTGTTGGGTTTTTCTTTTTCCTTTACCAAACTTTGGTTCTTTTTTACAAAAAAAAAAAAATTTGCTTATTTGTGTGAGAGTTTTGTTTCTGTTCCTCAGTGCCCTTAGTTGGAGCTGGACCAAGGGCTAATTATCCATTCTAGGTCTCCCACACGAGTAGCAGGGACCAAAGAGGGACCACTCATCATATCTTTCCTCCCAGGGTGTGTGTTTGCAGGAATCCACATGTGAAGCCGAGCTGAGACCCAGATCTAGGCACCGTGATGTGGAATTGAAGTACGTAACCACTGTACCAATGCTTACTCCTGAAAAACTTTCTAAAAACAAACGCAGTTACTTGAAAGAAAGTGAAGCAGATGAAAGAGACAGACAGACGGATGAGTGAGAACGGGTGTTCTCATCTGCTGATTTACCCTCCTAATGTCTACAACGGCTGTACTTGTGCCTAGGCTGATGCTGGACACTGACTCAATCCAGGTTTCCTGCGGGTTCCTGGCACCCAATGCCTTCAGCCATCACTTCTGCCTAACAGTCTAAGGAGACTGGAGTTAGAAGCCAGAGTTGGGAACTGAATCGAGGTGTGATGCAGTAATCAGAAATGATAGGATAAATGCTCACCCCAATGCTATTGTTTTTTCTTTTCTGTTCATCCTACCTTTATGTAATTTGTCTTGAGTTTGGATTTACTTATTTGCTGTAATTTTAAGCGTTTGGGAACACTTTCTCAAGCATTCGCAGAAATCTGCCACCAAACATTCCTCCAGTGAGAGAAAGCTCCCTTTGTTTTCATGGACAACACAACATTGAACTACTTTCCTACTAGTGCCATGGCTGGGCACTGAAGATAAAATTCCATCTGCAGAGTTGGCTTTTCCCAGGTAGTCCACTAGGTGGCCTGCTTCTTTAGGGAACAAAATAAAGTGTTTCATAAAGTAGGTAAGAAAGTTTCACAGGCTGCTTCTGTTGCTTCAGAACTGGAGGAAAGTAGAGGAAAAGAATGATCCTGTATGATCTCCATGAGCTTTCGGAAGGTTTGTGACCAAAGAGAATTAGTGCATACCACAGTACCGGGATACAGCCAGGATTTGGAGGGACACCCTGGCAAGGACAAGGAAATCAAGAGAAACTTTGATGGGCACAATGACGTAGCAACCCTGAGGCCAACACAAGTGGGTTTCCTTTTGAAAACCACTGTCCTGTGCATGAGTGCCTCTTAAAAGCAGTGATGTGCACGTGAGTCTGTGAGCAGAACAGATGTGCTGGCCAGGGAACAACAGGCGTCTTTGAATTCCCGACTCAAGTGCGTCTTTGTAGCCCAAGGACATCACCCAGAATTACCCCAACATGTACAGAAGCCCAGCCTTTGAAACCAACAGGGGTCCAACAAATTTTCCTTTCCAGGGAGAAAACTTAATGATCACACACAGCCACTCCATACAAGTTGCTCTTGGTTCACTGGGTCCTTTGGATTAACACATAGGATAGAAAAAGTAAGGAAGAGACGAACGGAGGCAGAGGGAGAAGGGAGGAAAAACTAAAGTTGGGAAGCACCTACTTAAGGTTGCAAAAGACAGTGTCTTGGTACTTGGAGGTACGCAGTAAATATTTGTGGACCTGATTTGACTCATGCAACAAACTGATCTTGCCCTGGGTAAAAGAAAAGTATACTGCATGCTTTTGTTTATCTTAACTCAACCTCATTCTGCTTGGCCTCCTACTAACCAGAATATAACATATAAGGATTTGAAAGCTATCCAAAGGCAGACCCCTCTTGTTAGGGAGCAAAACAGAAATGCACCTGGATTGGGACAGTTTTCTTGTCTTTACAACGATGAGCTGAGAGCTATGCACACCAGGTCCTGTGCCAGGAATCAGACAGACATGATTCCTGCCCTAAGGAAATTACAGTCCACTGGAGGGAAATGGATAATGATGTAAATTACCATACAATTATAGTGTGATAAGCATGATGAAGAGAAATAATAGGGTTTTATAAAAACACAGAGCAGGGGGTTCTGAGTCAGTGTGGAGCACTAGGGATCAGGGTCAGCTTTTCAAATACAGACACACTGATGATGAGACCCACTTGCGCCCTGTGGTGCCAGCTGGGAGCACACAGGGGCACAGAAGCACCTGCAGAGGGCCTGAGCTCACTGCCTCTGACCAACGGGGCCACACATGGCCAAAGTGCACTGGCCTGGCAGACTGTGGTCCTCAGGCACTGCCACTGTTGGACCCCGTGAGAAGGCAGTGAATGCCATGGGGATAGGCACGCTGAGGCTGGGCTCATCTGCAAAAAGACGCTGACTCAGCTGTTGAGCAGTGGGGCTCAGAAGGACCCATCTGCATAGAACTCATACTCAGCTCATCAAAAAATCGGCGCAGGTATGTCCTGGAGGAGAGCAAGGGGCTACACAGAGAAGCTGGCATTGCCTAACAGAAGCTACCAGGAAAGTGAATGGCCAGCACAGCTGTCTTTCCCTCCTGTCTTAGCCAATGGCTGGCCAGGTGAGGTTCTAGGAGAAGTGGGGCGTCGTCTCCCGAAGGTTCCTTTAGCACAGTGGTGGAGGAAGAAGAGCAAAGAACTGCAGCTTCCTCAAGTCACCTGTTCCTTGGGTGAGAGAGGGAGAAGGTTCTGATTGGATTGAAAATTAGAGATTCACCATGGAAACTTCTGAAGCCACGAATGCCCACTTAGCTGAAGAGTCTGCCTGCCACAGTGGCAAGGGTCTACCACAAAGCAAGGCAGGGAGCCGACAGGAACTAGGGAGAACAAGGACTGGAGACAGCAAAGCTGCTTCTCATCTCCATGCCTTCAGATTGACTCGAACTCTGCCTCTGGAGCAGCATGTGAGACTGTGAAAGCAGCTTCATTTTGAGTAAAGTTAGCATCTTGGGGATTTCTAGCTGCTACTGCCGTAGGCAGACCTGAGTCCCAACTAATATGTTTCTGCAGTTTTCTGAAGAGTAGTTCAAACTTGCAATGGGGGCCATGGTTATTTTTTTAAATATAATTCTATGATACAGGAGTTAGGCTGATTCTGTGTGTGTGTGTGTGTGTGTGTGTGTGTGTGTGTGTGTGTGGTATTTCTGTCTCTCTCCCATTATAGCCTACACGCCACTCAGAGGACACACTCACTTACTGTAAGGAAAGAGGGAGATACCTTTCTGACTGTTTAATTCAAATGTGTCCCAAGCTTAAAATACTTGCAAGAGCTGGAATCCAGCTGAAAAAAAAATTCTGAGAAATTATAGACTTTAGTGTTCATGTGTTCCAAATATTTAATTTCCTTTAAAAAGCTGTGCCGGCCTCTGCAGCAAGAGCACAGGGCAGGTTCTTCCCTGCATTACCAACAGCCCTGGAGGGCACTGAGGCCGCCTCATCACAGATCCACCCCTGCCAAGCTGTGCGCCCTTCAGGGGCCAC